GGGAAATAAAAAGAATTAAGATATACCAACTTTCCATGATGAATGTAATCATTAAATACTGCAAATGTACTATTAAAATTTTTTTAATTAAAAAATATTCTGAAACCATATTGTTCATCAGGCATTGGACTAGAAACAGGCTGTTGAGATGGGTCTACACTCGTAATGTAACACCTTGATCTATGTTCTCCAAAAGTATGTACAATATACTTTTGGGACCTAAAGAGAGTGGAGTCTCAGGGAATGGCATTGCTGTGAAACTTGAAGGATGAATAGGAGTCAGTAGGGCTGATAAGACACTGTCATAGACAATGGATCAGAAGAGGAAAAGGGTACTTCCTGATTCAATAATGAGACTATATGGGTATGGTGTGAAACTGAGGAGAAATGAGACTTTTTCGGTACTGAGGATCGAACCCAGGGCCTTTGCACTAAGCTATATCCCCAGCCCTTTTTAATTGTATTTTGAATCAGGATCTTGCTAAATTGCTAAGTAATCCAGATTGGGCTCAAACTTGCAGTCCTCCTACCTCAGCCTCCCCAGTGCTGGGATTACAGGCGTGTACCACCACACCTGGTGAAATGACACTTTTTTTTTTTTTTAGTACTGGGGATTGAATTCGGGTCCTTGCGCTTGCGAGGCAGGCGGTGGAACCACTGAGCTAAATCCCCAGCCCTAAAATGACACTTTTTAGAGCAGAAATCAGTGTAAAGGGGCTCCAGATTCAGGGCTGGGGTTTGCATTTGATCCCCAATGAGGTGGGAGCTTTAGAGGGCTTGAAACAGGTTACAGAGACTATGAGAGCAGTTTGTTTTTTGTTTGTTTTGTTTTTGTTTTTTGAGACAGGGTCTCGTTATGCACTGAATTCACTAAATAGTCCAGGCTGGCCTCAAACTCTCGGCAATCCTCTTGCCTCAGTCTCCTGAGTGCTGGGATCACAGGTGTGGACCACCATGCCCAGCATGACAGCAGTTTTTGACAGCAATCCCTCTAACACCATTAAGGAGATCAAAGGAAGAGAGACCAGCTGGCAGCAACCTACTAGAGTCAGGAGACATTGACAGGGGCATGAAGTACGACCAACTGTCCCACTTGGCACAAGGCCATCTGGTTTTAACCCAGGAAGACCCTTGTCCAGGCAGCTCGTCAATTGCAGGCAAATGGTGATGGTTGGTCATTCCAGCCTGAGCCTTGCAAGGTACTGGATCGCGCTGTTACCCAGGGCCTTGCCTGCCTTGAGAAGTGATCTGATGCAATGCTTCCAGGGGATCTTGGAAGCACTGTCTTCCCTACCCTGTGCCCTCAGAGGGCCCTTCTCCACTAGCACTCCTGGACCCCCTCTTGCTATGTTCTAGACCCACCAACTTCCAGATGCATGCAGAAATTTAAGAAAACATCCCCACTTAATACTTTCCAATCTTCCGTTCTACTTCCTTCCCAAATCTAAGGCTCCCCACAAAGTAGACTATTCCCTGTGCCACAGCAAACCTCCAGACTTTTGTGTGTGTTGGGTCTCCACAGGAAATAGGTTCCCCACTTCTCAGCCAATGAGGGCTCACTGCTAATATCACTCTTCACAGCTGAATACCAGTACCATGGAACAACTCCTGGGTGACAGACACTGCATTTGGGGCTTTTCAGATATTACCACTACTCCTTACAGCAAATAAATATGATTAGTCATTTTTACCAGATGAGGAAATCAAGGGTCACACAGGGCAAATGTTTCATTCAAGGCACACAGCTATTAGCCTTCCTTTCTGTATCCTTTGTAATTTGCTTGTAGTCCCCATCCTTGTATGGAAGATAAATGCACTTCCTTCGTTCTTTTCCCACTCCTTTGACTCAGCACACACGAAATTGGAAGCCTAGTATAATACCAGACTCCTAGTCCCTAGGGCCGAAAATAGAAATGTGCTGAGTGAAGGGATTATATATGTACTTTCTATAGTATCTAGCCTGGTGCCTGACATTAAAGAGGTTCTCCGTTACTATTTTTAATTGAGCTGAAATTGCAATACCTAACAAAAAAGGGTGTGATAGAGGAAGAGGATCCAAAGAAAACAGATTATGGCAGAACCTAAGCTATTCAAAGCTTTCTGAAAATGAGTCATTCTGAAGGCTGAGGGTAAACCTTTGAATTCAGAAAGAAGAATCGTACAGCAGCTTCTCAGAGCTTCCTAGCTTCCTCCACCCTTTCTGAGCTCCCCTGCCCCTTCAATAATCTCTTCTTTCCATTTTCTTTCTGTCTTTGTTTTTCAGTTGCTCCTTTGAAGTCTCTTAGGAGTCCCAGGTCCTTATGCCAGCTCCCAATTTCTTGTGGTGGGGACTCACTGTCATGTTTGGGGGGGCTGCCCTTCCAATCCCTTTCCACCTCACCATTTTCTCCTCGCCAAAGCATCTTTTCCACACAGCCTTCCCTCACTGCCCGAGCCTGGTGCACCTTCTTTCTTCTGTGCACCCCACTCACCCCATGCAGGTGGCTGTTTTTCCAGTTGCTTCCCACACTGGACTGTGAGTTTCTTGAGGCAGGAAATCATGTTACCCTGAATCATTTGCAAATTAAATTGGCAGCCCTTTTGTACTTCTTGGCCACCTTTCCTTCATTTCTGCTTACTTGAGGTAGTCAACTTTTGTTGGTTGCTTGCTTGGTTGAATTGCAATTGGGAAATCATGAGTGCTGGAAGTTTTGGGTTTCACTGTTGGCCTACTTCTCTCCTTCCTGCTTTTCTGCTATGTTCCCTGGTGTTTATGTCACACTTCTCCATTTGGCTCAAAAATACTCCAGCTTGGTGGCATGTGTTTGGGGGGAAAGGGTAGTCAATCAGGATTTTCACTGAACCTTGCCAGCGCACTTTGAGGGTCCAGCAGTCCTGACTTCTCTTATTGATATAGCATTTACTTAAGTGACAACTCTGCACTAGGCCCTCAGCCAGATGTTAGGAGACGAGGATGGAAAACAGTCTGGCCCTGTTGTGCCTCTTGCTCTGTGTGTGACCTTTAGCCCTCTTCAGATATCCTCCATTTACTCATCTGAAAATGGAGGGGAGGGGAGACCTGATCTGTTAGGGCCTTGGGGCTCTTGACATTGCAGTTCTTGTCTGTTCTGGTTACCCCAGGCCCCTCCACATCTCCTTTCCCCCAGAAAAGCTAGGCTTTCCTCTCTTATCTCTCACCATCCTATCCTGCAAATTCTGAATAGACATGTTCTTACACATCTTCCCCTCCATGTAAATTAACAGCTCCAAGAAGCACTTCAAGAAGCCCAGCTAGCCCAGGGGGAATAAAAGAAAGAAGAGGAAGAAAGGGCTGGCATGTCAGGTGGTCATCTAGGGCATGTTGGGGAACGAAAATATATGCTGACATACCCAAAACATTCCCTAAACTCAGTTCCAAAGAGTCACATTAATCAGTTGCATCAGGGAGGCCAAACCAAAGTGAGAGATGGGGAGAAGATAGAGTTCTGTTTGTTTCCATAGAAAAGTCAAAGGAATCAATGTTTCCTTGCACTTGTAGGATACCATTTTTTTTGTATCCTGGCAACCCTTTCAGTTACATTCAACAAATTTATTTTGTTTGAGACAGGGTCTTGCTCTGTAGTCTGGGATGGCCTTGAACTTGCTATGTAGCCCAGGTTTGGCTTGAATTTGGGATCCTCCTACCTCAGCCTCCTGAGTGCTAAGATTACAGATGTGCACCACCAAACCTGGTAACATTTTTTTTTGAGCACCTTCCGTATTCAAGGCCTTATGCTGGAAATATTGGCCTTTCCTTATAGGACACACTGCAAATTCAAGTGTACATTTTTGTGATATTTTGGTTTTAATATCTGTCTCCTCCACTAGACTGTAAACTCAATAAAGACAGTGTCATGTTTGTCTTCTTCCTCATCAAATACTTAGCATATAACAACAGTGCCTGGCAAACTGGAGTCACTCAATAGGTAGTGACAAAAAAAAAATATCCAGAGATCTGGGACCTGGGGACAGTCTTAAATTTTGCAAAGGCTGGTGTAGTGTGTGGAAGAAAGCCTCTTCATCTGAAACACAGTTGTTCAATAGCCAGGAATTGAACTAAATGAATAATAATATCAGTAAATACTTATATAGAGCCTATTGCATACCAAGCCTTGTGCACTTTACATTTATTCACTCATTGAATTCTCAGGACAAGCCTACGAACACTGTACAGTCTTGTCAACCCCACTTTACAAATGGAAAAACCGAGGCATAGAAGTTCACCAACTTGTAAGTTGCACAGTAGAGATTTGAACTCCAGCTGTCTGACTACAGTCCATGATCCTAACCACTACACTAAACTGCCTTCCAACAATGAATGCTCAGCATTGGAGAGATGAAGCAGTTTCAAAAGGGGATTTTCACAAGAAGAGATCAGTGGTGAAGCTAAGACCAGAACCCACGTCTGCTCTCTACAGTGCTTCTCTCACTCTGTCATACGTATCTGGTGCTCTTACAGAGCCCCTGAGAATGGAGGCACAAAGAGGCGTCTGAGAAGTCTAGATATTTGTGCAGAAAAACAACCTTAGTGGGCTAGTAAGCTCTCAGGAGAAGACAGGAGTCAGAGCAGCCACTAAAGTGGAAATAAATGTGACCATACATTCCCTTTCTGAGGTAGGGACAGGGGGTGGGCTGCTTCTCAGAGATCTTAGTTGAGGCCTAAGTGATTCCCTTTTCCTACACTGATTCATCCCTACAACTAGAGCCACACAAGGCCATTTCTCCCTCATTGCAATTAGGTACACGTGGAGAAAGGATACATACTGGGGAGATGAGATAGGCTGCTCTGCAACATGATGGATGTGTAGGAGTCAGGGCGGAGCAGTGAGTAGGGAGGACTGGAGGAAAGGTTTGGCTAAGCCTGACAAAATCCCAGCAGCTAACCAGACCCAGTGATGAGATTATATAAAACATTTGTAACCAACCCAGCTTAAGAGGTTCAGAGCTCCTGGTTGGGCTTCTTGCCATAGCAGAATAGCACCATGGCCACAGTACTTTCCCGACTTGATTTTCAAGAAGGCCTCCAAACACTCTGTGTTATGCAGTGGATTCCAGTCTATATATTTTTAGGTGAGTAAACCCCAAGGGCTGGAGAGCACATGGGAATAGGCCAAGAAAGAGCCCAGGTATCCCTAGATGAGAAAGGCTCCACAGTGATTATCTACTTGAGCCTCCCACCCCCAACAGGAAGGACTGGGGTGGGGCCGGGGGCACAAAGACCAAAAGTGAGGCTGTGGTTGTTCTGGTTTAAAGATTACCCCAGCCTTCTCAGGAGCTGTTCCCTATGAACTGGCTGAAAAGACTTATATTGGGGGATAGGACAGACAGAGGTGGTGGTGGCTTACAGGATTGGTGTTCCTAGGCATAAGGTCATTTTCTAGTGTCAGATTATGGTGAGAGAATTCTGGGAAATTTGAGGGCTATCTGGGTGACACATTAGAATTTGGAGAAAGGGCTATTTGTTTGGTGCACTCAGGGAAGAGCAGTCATTGGTTCTGGGCAAATGGGCTGACTGACAACTCCACACTATTCCCAGCCAGAATCCAGGGCTTTGTTGGTGGCCAATTATAGGGACAAGCTTGAAAAGTGGATAAGGAGAACTAATGTCATTCTGAAGGATAGGACAGGTAGGGGACTGCTGGTTCCAACCCACGGGAGGCTGTAAGACAACCTTAGGGCAAATGCTCTTAACCAAGAATTTAGGATTAATTGGGGGGCTGAATTTGGATGGAAAGAAATATCTCTTTACTTTCACTAATCTCTAGTGAAAATGTAGCATGTCCTTCAATGATGAATGTAAGCAATAAACCCCAGAAGTGTTAGCAGTACCTGCAACTTTGTCAGTAGCAGACATGAAAAGATTTTCATTTCATATTAGAGTTGTTACAAGCATCTTGAAATTTCATTTATGCCCACAACTACTTCAAAATTCCAGTAGTTATTGGAACCATCATTATATCTGGTTGTTTAATACATAAATCAAGAAGCACATTTGTTACTGGGACATATTGTGATTTTAATATAATGGATTTCCACTGTATGTTTGTGTATTTTATTTTGTGCATTTATAAAAATATTATTCTGAGAAGGGCTCCATAGGCTTCATTAGATTTCCAGAAGTATCCATGGCTCCCCAAAATGTAGAGTTACTAAGCTTTATTAAAGTGAATCATGCTGAGCTCATCAATGGCTTGACTTTAGCTGTACTGGGTACATGGAGGTGATTTTATTTTTGGTAAACTTGCTTGTTTATATCTTTCATAGTTGCTTTTTGTTCTCCTTTGCATCTTACCATAATTTCCTCAGAAGGACTCATTTAGTAAGTTTCGGCTGTCAGCTAGAAAATCAAAGGGCTCAGGAATGTCCCAAGAGATTTGATATTGTGTTGGCAGCCACATTTCAACCCTGGGTCCCCCAGAGAGTGGGAAAAGAGGGTCAGAGTGCAGGGAAAAGTGGTCAAGAGAGGAAGTGCTGTGGGCTGGGGATGCAGCTCAGCGTAGAGTGCTTGTCTAACATGTGCTAGCTAGGCACTGGGTTCGATCCCCACCCCCCGTACCCGTCCTCCCCCCCAAAAAGAAAAGGAAAGATAAAGGAAAAAAGGGAAAAAGAAAAGAAAGAGAGGAAGAGCTGTGACTCTTTTTTGGTGTGGAACCTCTCCTACTGAAGAAGGCCTTGGCATAACACTTGAACACAAAAGCTCACATTATTCTGGCTCCCTGGTTCCCTGAGGCAATTTTCCTCATTAAAATTGATCTTATTTTTCTGCCAGAAAAGAGAGCTGGGAATTTAGCTCAGTGGTTCTGCTCCCTACCTTGCAAGCACAAGGACCTGAGTTCGATCCCTGGTACCAAAAAAAAAAAAAAGCATGCAGAAAAGAACTCTTTGTCAAGTAGTGTTTTATCTATTCCTTTTTCCCCTCCTCCTCCTCCTCCTCTTTTTTTTTTTTTTGTTGGTACCGCGGATTGAATTCGGATCCTTACACTTGCGCAGCAGGCCGCAAAACCACTGAGCTAAATCCCCAGTCCCCTTTTTCCCTTTCGAAGAACACTGTCTCTAAGCAGGGAAAGGGCAGAAGGTATGTAAGAGGCCCAGAAGGCGAGTGTTTGCTCCTGCTAATGCAATAGCTCCTACTAATGCCTTCTTCCCATTAAATCTCATCAGCTTCCAGTCACCCTGGAAGAGCTGGAGGAGTGTTAGGGACACATAATGGCACCACCATGTCACCAATTGAAAACACAAGTATACAGTTCAGTGGCAATGAGAAATTCACACTGTTATACAACCGTCACCACTGTTCATCTATGGATTTATCCTTATGGTCAGAACTTTTTTCCTTTTTAAGGTTAAATAATATTACCTTGTTTGTATACTCTAAATATTGTTGTCATTCACCTATTGATGGGTCCTTCCACCTCTTGGCTACCATGAATAATGCTGCTACAAACATGGGTATATATGTAAGACCGAGGGCCTTACCAAACGCTCCGAGGAGCTGAAGTGGAGCACACCCGGGGATCCCAGCGGTGCCTCCAGAATGTAAGACCAAAGGCCTTACCAAACGCTCCAAGGAGCTGGAGTGGAGCACACCCGGGAAGGAGCACACCGGCCATGTTGGGAAACAGACCTTTATTAGTCTGGCCAGACGGCACTCCCGAAGCAAAATAGCTCAGAGAGGCACCTGGCTCAGAGTCCGAGGTTGTTTTATAGGGGGTTAAGGGGGGGGGGGGGTAACATGTGGATTCACAGAAAAAAAAAAGAACAAAGGTTAGTGGCTCATTGTCACATGCTGATGTTCAGCAGACATCCTGACTGACAGTTACGACCACCCTGTTTACAGATTGTCCTATAGATACTGGGCCCCGGGACATTTGGATTTAGGGCAAACAGATGGCTGAGTAACCTCGCCCTATTACTGATTGTCCATTGTCCCGAGGCAAACACACTCCAACCATCAAATTTACAACAGAATCTAGGGGAGTAATTAACTTTTGAATCACACAGTCCCACATATAAAAATGTCCAGACCCTAATTTCATTTTTTAGATATAAACCCAGAAGTGGAATTGTTCAATCATATAGTGATTCTGTTTTTTAATTTTTTGAGGATCTGCCAACCAGTTTTCCACTGCGGCTACATTATTTCACATTTCCAACAACAGTGCACAAAGTTTCCAATTTCTCTACGTTCTCACCAACACTCATTTTCTGTTTGTTTTTGTTGTTGTTATTGTTCTAATCATCCTAATGGATGTGAAATGATAGCTCACTGTGGTGTGTGTGTGTGTGTGTTTTCCGGTACTGGGAATTGAACTAAGGGCCTTACTACTGAGATGCATCCCCAGCCCTTTTTTATTTTTATTTTTAATACAGGATCTTGATAAGTTACTAAGTTGCCCAGGCCAGGCTGGAACTCCTCCTACCTCAGTCTCCTAGAGTGCTGGGATTACAGGCTTTCACCACCAGGCCCGCCATCATTGTGGTTTTGATTTGCATTTCCCTAATGATTACTGATCTTGAACATCTTTTCATGTGTTTGTTGACCATTTGTCTTGACTTCTTTCAGATTCCATTTATCTTTTTCTACTCATTTAGATGTTAAACACCCTGATTTTGTTTCTTTAGTGATTATTCTAGAATTTAAAAGAATCCTGGGCCTTGGAAATTACCAAGGTAGCTACATCATCTAACAGGATGTGATGTCTACAGCAATGTAGAATGTATTGAAATCTGTTCTCCAGTAGTTTGGGGGCAAATATTAATTATAAGGCCTTGAGATGCCTTTGCTGAGACTACAATAAATAGTTAATTAAGGCCCTTTACTATCGAGTAACAGAGATGAATCATTTATTCAACCATTGTACATATTTTATGTGTCAGTACTGAACAAATACACAAATCACTACAATGTAAGATTGTGACAAGTGAAAGAAAGAGCCACAATAGAGAGATATTAGGGTGTTAGACAAAAGTTGAGGGGGACAGGGTAGGCAGGAGAGGGAAATTGTGGTATGATAAACAGAATAGGAGTTTTGGGGTACATTGAGATTGAATAATAATTAGCTGTGTGACTTTGGACAAGTACTTGAATCTCTCTAAGCTTTAGTAGCCCCATCCTCTCAGCCTGATCCACAGGAAATGCTCTACACAGAAAAGCCAGTCTCCCTTCCTTCCTTTCTTCCCTCCTTCCTTCCTTGCTTCTTCCCTCTCTCCCTCTCTCTCTTCTTCTTTCTCTTTCTCACCTTCTCTCATTCATATTTTCTCTCTTGCTCAGAGGCCCCGCCACTGCTTTTCCTCTTCCTGAATGATGTTCAACATTGTGACTGATTGCTGAGCATTATTGGGGGTGATGGGGAGGAAACAGGCAAAATAGGGAAAAGTGGGAGGAAAAAAGGCAGAGGGACAAGAAGGAGGAAGGGAGTGAGAAGAGATGAATGAGAACATGGGTTGGAGGAGATGTGGAATACAAATATCCATGGTCCTTATACTTAGGGAGTAGCTTGACAGCCTTTCTCAGAGCCTGTTTCCATTCAGGAGAATACTCTCCATCTAGCTCTTGGCTCATATCACCATCTCCCTGAACTCTTACACTATCCTCTTTTGTGTTCCTCTAGCCTCTAGTCTACACACTCTCCAATCTATTCTATTGTCTGCTCCTTAAAGATTCTTTCAAAAACATCTTAGATTGCACCCCTTTCCTGCTCAAAAATAAGCAGTGGTTTCCCGTCGCTTTTTTGATGATGTACAGATGTGTTAACCTGAGCATTCAAGGTCATTCTGCCCTCTCCGGCTCTGACCATTTCCCACTTTATCCTCCTAATCTTCCCCTATATTATACTTCTATTTCAGGCAATCTAATCACAGAATAAACTGGAAATAAACCTTCCTAGTCTTTCACCTGTGCTGTGATGATTCCCTCCACTGGAAATATGCCATAGCAGCCCTTTCTGGGCTCTTCATAGGTAGCTGCTCTGTTATGACTCAAGTCATATCTTCTCTCCAACATATTTTATTTTTTAATGCACAGTACCAACATTTATTAATCTTCACAACACTCCTGTGAGGTAGGTCAC